CCCACCTGGAAATTCGGGGATTTATTTCCTTCTTCTTCAAAGCGAGCGTTAGAGAGTTACAATCGGTCACAATTTTGAACGGGATTCCGAGGAGATAAACTCGAAATCTACGCACGGCATAAACAATAGCCAACATCTCAAGTTCAAAACTGTGATACCGGCTTTCAACTTCAGTACTCCGCTTTGAAAAGTAAAAAATGGGATGAAACTTCAAGTCCTTTCCACGTTGCATCAAGATCGCACCGTACCCCAGCGCGCTTGCATCACAATGCAGTTCGGTTTCGGCTCGAGGATCGTAGATCGCTAAGATCGGAGATTCGGCTAATTTTGCTTTTAAAATTTTAAACGCATCATACTGATCTTTTTTGAAATTAAATTCCGCCCCCTTTTTGAGAAGGTCGTACAGAGGTTTTGCAATCAAAGAGAATTTTTCTACAAATTTTCGGAAATATTGGGCAACCCCTAAAAAACTCTGTACGTCCTTCACAGTTCTGGGCTCGGGAAAATTTGTCACGGCTTCGATCCCTTTTGTGGTGGGACTAATACCACTTTCAGACACCACATAACCTAAAAACTCAATCTTTGTGGATAAAAATTCACATTTGTCGGTTCTCAACTCCATTTTATTTGCAATCAATAATCTAAATACTTTACGCAAAATTACAATATGCTCGTCAATTGATACGGTGGCTATAAGCAAATCGTCCATATAGGCAACCACTTCCCCAGATTCAATCAAATCTTTAAAAACGGTATTTATAAATCTTTGAAAACGTGACGGAGCCACTTTTAAACCAAAAGGCATACAAGTGAACTCGAATTGTCCAATCGGTGTTACAAAAGACGTATACTTTTGTGAATCCTCGGCAATAGAAATATGGCGAAATGCATCTTTCAAGTCCAACCGAGAAAAATATTTTTTATTATTTAAAATATCGAGCTGATCGTCGATTAGCGGTAAAGGATAATTATCCCCGATAAGAAATTTATTCAATACACGAAAATCGATACACAAGCGCATTTCGCCATTTTTCTTTTTAACCAGCACTATTGCTGATGCATACTCGGAATCACTCGGTTTTATACGCTTCAAGGTTATCAAATTTTTAATGATTTCTATCAATTTCTGTTTTTCTATAAATGACAACCGTCTAGGGGCAAACCGGAAAGGCTGATGTTCTTTTAAGCGAATAGTCAATTCCGCTTTCACAGCAGGCTTTTCAGGCCGCTCGGGCTTGATATATTCTATAAAAAACAAATCCCTGATTTTATCGCGATCTTCAACTGCAATTTCGTCATTAATTTTAAGAGTCCCAATAACATCAATTTCAGACTCGTCAATATCAATATTTAAAATTTCTGACACTGCTTCCGCCAAACTATCATCTGTTTCCATTATTTTAAAACCAAATTTACGGAATGAATCGCGACCCAAGACTACCGGTAATTTCATAGTATTATCATCTACAATCAATAAATCAACATCTCTAATCAGCCGTCCTAGCGTGACTCTAGACTTTGCCCGACCAAGTATTTTTAATTTGGACTCATTTATACCTGTATATTCAAAACAATGAGAATCAAAAGGTTCAATTAATTCAGGGTTTACAAATTTTTTTTTTATAAAACTGACTGGACTACCACTATCCAGTCTCGTCGACAGAGTTAAATTAAAAACCTCACCATCCAGATGAAACTCATATGTAGCTGATCTCAGGAACTCATCTTCTTGATTACCTAAATCGACATTTGCTACCTCCTTCGCCACCGATGATCCTCGCTGCACACAATCCTTGATGACATGATCAACTCCCCCACAACGAAAACAGGACCCCTTCTTTCTTTCTGGACGCTGACATTCAGTGGATAAATGGCCCCATTTTCCACAATTATAACAACGAACCGAAGACCTCGTACTAGCACCTTCCTTGGAACCCTTTTTAGTGCCCGGTTTGTCATCCCTTCTAAATCCTTTTGGCTTCTCGTCCGTTGGTTGACTTCTGCCAGATAACGCGATTTTCTCAAACGCTTGCAGCAGTTTTTCCACTGAATCAAAACATTGAATTCGCGCCTGATCACGCATGTTAGAATCCGCTATGCCATCAATATAATAATCTAGCCGTTCGGCTTCGTCAATTGGAACTCTGTTTGCTAAAATGATTTTGTCGTGCAGATATTCACTAAAAAGTTCACCCTTCTTCCAGGTTCTCTCCTCAAATTGTTTTCGTAGTAGCACTCTACTCGGCCTCCGATGGAACATTTTTTGCAATTCTGTCAGCAAACTGTCAATGGGCATCTGAATGAAATCAGGTTTCGAGTGAAACCAACTCAGCGCCTTGCCTTTTAATTTGGAGCAGATTAGAATCCTCGTAGAGTCGTCATCCAAGTTATAGGTATCAACAAGTATTTTCACCTGTCGTTCCCAGCTGTCAAAATTCCCACCAGTGCCGTCGAATGTGCTCAGCAACTCTCCAATTTTCGTAATACACAATTTCTGCTGGCTTATGTTGAATGAGGACCTTCTAGGTGAGTCATTGCGATGGCTCCCCACTTCTTCTCGGATTTCCCCCAACCTTCGTCGTTCAAGTTCTAATGCTCGCCGTTCTTCTTCCAATATGGCTGAACGATTCATTTGCGTTGAACTTCCGGGTCTCTCTCTATTTAGTCTCACTCTTTCCAGCTCCTGCCTAGCTAAATCCAGTTGCCTTGCCATCTCCACTCGCTCGGCTCTGATAGTTCTCAGCTGTTCGTCATAATTTTGTCCTTGGTCTCTGCTTGCTACTGATTCCTTTAGTTTTTCCAGATCGCTCTTCAACGCTTCTACCTTGGCCGACAGGTTTTCATTTTCCAGCCTTGTCTTCTGCAACTCTTCTTGTAGCAGATTATGTTCTGCAACTTGGTTTTTTTCTTGAATAAAGGCTTTCCAACTCTCTTGCTTGTCAATTTCCTGAATTTTGGCGACCAGTTCCGCTTTATTGCCCGTGGAGCTCATATTTTTCCAACGTAAAATCTCCTTCAATTCTACCACAGTAAGGTCTTGAAGCGTCGTCGCCATTTTAGACACGTGCACAAGTCCCTTTTTCACTTTTAACTCTTCCACAAAGATTAAACACTGTTCAATTATCACAAAGAGGAAAAGAAAATATTTCTTTCAACATTAACAATTTACAATTCACAGCTCACAATAGGTCTAACCGTGGTCACTTCACAAATTATCGAAATTTCACTTTAAGAACACAGAAGCCGTAGCCATTTTAAAAATTTCGTACCGAATCACTCACTCACAAATCTAAGTCTAAGGAAAATACTTGGAAGATTAATTTACTTATGATAGATTAACTAATTTAGGAAATAGAGAATTTGACCTTGATAGTTGATAGGAATTGACAGGTTTATTTTATTTCGTTGAAATTTTTTTTTTTTATATAGTTAAGCCTACGAGCTAATTTTGAATTTCAATTGAGGAAAAACAAATTTGTTAGAAAGAAATCAGACAAAAAGGTGAAAAATTTAAGTTAATTAATAAGATTATTTCATTTAATTTCATTCAGAACGAACTTACAATTAATTATTCAAACTTAAACAATAAATAATTATACCATATGATTGATTGTATATTTTGTTTCTTTATTAATAATTATTATTTATTTTTTTTGTAAAGTAAAAATATTCAACTTCGAAACGATATATGACATTTATTCATTTATAAAAGTAGAAGTGAATAAGAAAATAAACAGCTGATCTACCGAATAATTATGGGAAGGATTCCTCTAATTTGGTAAACAAGCAACAAGTTTTCTAAAAATAAAATAAATATTTTCTTTCAAATATATCTATAGAAATAATAAATTTAAGGATTGATCTAATTTAAATTATTCCATTATATAATTACAATCATATCTGTTGATATAGCTGGCACGTGTTCATTGCATCAAATAATTAAATTTGAAAATACAATGTCCCTTTAAATTTAGACAATAGTCATTCTTTCTTTTGTATAAACTTACGTAATGTGGGTGATTACTATCTGAACATTTATGTTTACGGTCATTCAACCACATTTTTGAACTTATTAATTTATCGGAACCAAACCAAATCAAGGCTAAGATTGATAAGAAAGTAAATAATAGTATAGATCCCCGGTGTGAGAGTTAATAATGCTTCATCTTCCTTTGTCGAAATTTCAAATTCGGAGAAAACTTTTCCTTTCTGTAATTCCAAATTATTTTTGGCAGATTTGTCATTTGATTTTTGAACTTTTTCCTTTGGTTCCAAATCTTTTTTTGATAAAATTTTAACTGCGGAAACTTTTTCTTCTTTTAATTCAAAATTATTTTCTGTAGAAATTTTATTCGACTCTGGAAATTCTTCCTTTGGCTTGAAATCTTTTTTTGTTGAAATTTCTGCTGACTTGAAAACTTTTCCATTCAGCTTCAAAACTTTCTTTAACGAAACATCAGTCGACTCTGAAACTTTTTGCTTTGATTCCAAATTATTTGCAGTTGATTCGGCAACTTTTTCCTTTGATTCTAAATTATTTGTCGTTAAAATTTTACTTGACTCACAGACTTTTGTTGAAATTCCAGTCGGTTCGCAAACTTCTTCCGTCGTTTCTCCCTTCGTTGAAGTCGCTGAATTTTGAAAGTCGTAGCCAAACAAATACTCCTTCAAATATTGGGATCAGAAATCACGCGAAACTGACCCACCCCTGAGCCTTCTTGTGACAACCATCTTGATTTTTTATCTCTTTCTTTTGTATATGTTAGAGAAACACGGAATGAAAACATGGCCACCACAACAAGGCTCTCATCAGATGGCGTATCGCAGTATTTCAGATCCCAATACCTGCAATTTTTTTCTAAATTCAAACACATTTCGCTCCAATAATATGAATTGTCATTGATGATTTGATCTCGAGGTTCATTTTCTCAAAGGCGTAAAACAATGTGATTGGTGATGATAGAAAATTGGTTTTTTTGTTGATGTAAAATCACCTTTCACTAGCGTTCTATTAATTGATGATGAATTAACATTCTTATTCCTTTTGGTAATATTCTGTCGAATACTTCATCGATTTCATTTAGTAGTAAAACAATCGTAGCTGCGAAGTTCTTCATTGAACTATCATCTGGTGTCTCATTGAAGATGGAAAAATTTTCAGTTATAATCGGTCGGCTCGTTGATAATTTGAAAGCAATTGACAAATCACCACATGCTTTTTTGTGTTCTGGATCGCTTTTGTGCTTCTTGCATAAGAATACCTAAAAAAGAAAAATAATTAGCAAAGAGTTTAAACAATAGTCAATTAAAAATATCGAATATATATTGATAAATGTATTTCAGTAGTCTGATCTTAGTATGAGGTAAATTTTTTCTTATTTGCTTTTGTCTTCAAATTTTTCTTCTTAACGTATTTCAATATTAAGAACTAATAAGCCTTTTCATGATTTCCAGATTCTACAGAAATACTTAAAATCAAACGAAGGCGTACATTTTTTATTCCCAAATTTTTTTGAAAACATTAACTTCACAGGCTTCACAGTAGGGATGGAAAGGGGAAACGAAAAGTCGACTTTCGACTTTACAATCGACTTTAAGTCTTTCGACTTTTTAAAGTCGACCGAAGTCGACTTTGTAAAAAAAGTCGACTTTTTATCGACTTTTTTTGAAATCATATTTATTTTAAGAATATTCATTTATAACTTATTAATAATTATCTCTGAATCATTTTTTTAAGAAAAATCTAATTTGATGAACTTAAATTTAATTATATTACAATAAGTAATACTTAACTATGAAAGGAAAAATCCAGAATAAACATTTTTAATGTAATTGATTATATTTCTACATTAATGGTAAAAACATTCTATTTTAAAATATTAAAATTATTCTTTATCATCTAATTATAATTATAATTCAATCGAAATTATTGTTATTAAATATTATTTAAATATTCTTATTAAAACACATTTCCTTTTTACATTCTGTACACTGCACTTTACTGCCGTCACCAATTTTTGAAAAATAAATCCAAACAGCACTAGGACCCATGTGCTTAATATTTAATTAAAAATAATGTCGTACAACACAATGTACGAAAAATAATATATAACGTCCCGAAAACCGTTAGTCCACAGTTTCGTCATGCGTGTTTATCACGTGTCAGTTGTTTTTCATGTTGACAGAAAGTCGAGAAGTCGACCGACGAAGATCGACTTTCATCGACTTCGACCGAATCAAAGTCGACCGCGAAAAGTCGACTTTTTAGTATCGAAAGTCGACTTTCGACTAAAGTCGAAGTCGACTTTTCCATCCCTACTTCACAGTGACTCTAAAAAATATTTTAGGGGAAATAGGGGACTAAAAATATAAAAATAGGGGACTATGAAAATTATTCAAATAAAGATGAATATTATATATACTTAAATTATAAGAAGAGAAATTGCTTTTTTTTGTATATTCTAAAAAAAATTGCAAAACTTTAGACAGAATTTAATTATAAAAATAGCCATCAAGAGATTTTCTACTTTTTTTATATTTCTCAAAAAAATAGCAAAAATTTAGACAAAATTCATTTAAAAGTAAATCCATTCAAGGATTTTCCATTTTTTTATTGTATTTTCACGAAAAAATAAGACAAATTTCATTTACAAGCAAATCCATCCAAGAACTTTCTAGTATTTTTATATTTTCTTAAAAAAATGAAAAAATTGAATTACTAGTTAACTTATTACAGGATTTTTGAGTTTCTTATTCTCTAAAAAAAATAGCAAAAATTTTTGATAAAATTCAATTACAAGCAAATTTATCGAGGGATTTTCAAGTATTTTTGTATTTTCTCAAAAAAATGGCAAAATTTTTTGTCAAAATTCGATTACAAACAAATTGATCGAGGTATTTTCAAGTATTTTTGTATTTTCTCCAAAAAAATGGCAAAAATGTACCAATTCTCAGTTCACTGCGTGAGCGATTCCTTAAAAATTAAGATTTTACAATGACTTTGACGAAAAGAGGGGAAAATTAGGGGAAAGTTTCAAAATAGGGGACTTTTAGGGGACCAAAATTTAAAAGAAGACTTTTAGGGAAATAGGGGACAACCTGTGAAACCTGAGACTTTTTCAAAGTAAAATTAAAAATGAAAACAGTTGAAATTTAAACAATTATGCTCATTTAGGAACAGCTTAATATGAAACTTACTTGCATGTCAATATGCTTTCCATCTATGGCTCCAACAGTATGAGGAAATTGCCAGTTCCTCTCAAACCCATCTGCAACTTTTTTCCATTCTGCTGGAGTTTCTGGCAAACACAGAACAATTGGGATCAGTTTATCCCTTAAAACCTTCATTGTTTTGTAAATCCACTTCACAACTGTGGAATTCCCCATACGAAATTGGATGCTCAACGAAGACAGACTTTCTCCTGTTGCTAAAAATCTGAAAAAGTGATGCAAATTAATGAGTATAATTAAAAAATTATAATCATTAATTAAAACTTCAGAATTTTGTTATTTTAAATTATTATAAAGGTCTTAACGATTTAATTTTTATTACCTCAATGTCAGCATTAATTTCGTAGACGGATCAATGATGTCATCTCGAGTCGGCTGGCTGATCAATAATGGACTAAATTTTTGTAGGAGATCTTCATATTGGACGACGCTCATCCTTGTGAATTTTTTAAACATTGTCTCGTCAATTAACGCCGTCTCCAATCCAAAATTATGAGCGCCTAGAACAAATTTGACAAAAAGATTAATATTCATTAAAAATGTGTTTATTAAAAAAGATAATAATTACCTTTTTCCTTTCTACTCATCCACAGAAAATTTACCCAAAATCTCCTGCTTCTTCGTTTCCTTCTACGTAGTAATAGAAGTAGTAGAAGATTAATATCATCATCACATTCTAATGAGGATGAGGTCGAAGAGCTATCGCTACTCATCACTGTTTAAGATTAAAGTAATGATTAAATATTGAGAAATTCAAGTAATTATTAAAAATAAATTTCACAAGTAATTTGATTTAACATAAAGAAAGTAAATTTATTAAAATTTTAAAAATTAAAAAAATATTTATATATTATTTTAAACATTTTCTAATAGATGAAAAAGAGGAAAATAAATAACAAACTAGTTAAAAAAAGTATTTAATGAAAGTTGAACTTCCCTTCGCGCGAAATTTGAAAATTGAGGTGTGAATGGTTAATTGCATGCACGCCAGCGCATGAAAGCTAGCAGATGAGCTGTGAGAGCACCTTGATACTCATGCGAAGAGTCAACTTCCTCTACAGGATCTCTCACATTTGAAAAAGTACTGCAAAAATGCAAATTAATTAAATCATTTTATCTTAGTTTATTTTTATTCATCGGCGATTCCACGTCAGATTTCAGGTCACATTTTTAATTCGGTCAAAACTATCTTCTTTCATTCCTTACTGAAAATAAATACAAATGTACAAATGGACAAATGTTTGAGTTACGAATTTTTAAAATTTAGGTTTTTTCCGGTTTTTTCACAGTAGACCAATTTTCAATGCCATATAACTTTGAAATTATTAAATTTAGAGAAATTTCGCCAAGGCAATAAAAGTTTAGTTTTTCATCGACTTTAGAATAATGTTAACGAAAAAACATATTTTTTAATTTTTATTAAAAAAATAAAAAAATTTTAATAAACAAATTATTTTTTTTTAAATTTGGATATGATTTTTTTCAAGTCTTTTTTTTAATAAATACCTAGAAATAGTAACAAAAGTTTACAAAAGGTTTTAGAGTGGGCATAATAAATCTTTTTATTTCAATAATTTGTTAAAAAAAAATTTGTTTTTTTTGTTGTTTTTTCATTTTTAAATTAAACAGTTCTTTTGTCGCTAGGACTCTTAACTTTACTCATAGAAAAGCAAAATAAAAGTCTTCTTAATGTGAAAAAACCAAATTTTTTTAAACAAATTATTTAAACAAAAAGATTTATCAGGCCCACTCTAAAACTTTTAGCAAACTTTTGTTACTATTTCTAGGTATTTATAAAAAAAAAGACTTGAAAAAAACCATATCCAAATTTAAAAAAAAAATTATTTGTTTATAAAAAACTACTATTTTTCTAATAAAAATTAAAAAATATGTTTTTTCGTTAACATTATTCAAAAGTCGATGAAAAACTAAACTTTTATTGTCTTGGCGAAATTTCTCTAAATTTAATAATTTCAGAGTTAAATGGCATTGAAAATAGGTCTACTGTGAAAAATCAGAAAATTCTTACGTCCGTGAAGTTCTCAACGTTTATGATTAACGATTGAGTGAAAAAAATATGTTTCTTAACAAAAACAATAAAATATGTTGTTTAAAAGTTGTTCTTTTCCAAATTATTGATAAAAAAATTATGCAAAATAACTTTTATGCAAAAATATGTAAACATTTAAATAGAAAAATATCTTTTCTTCTAAATCGTTGATTATAAACGTTGTGAACTTCACCTAAGTAAATTCGTAACTAGAAAATTCGGTCACTTATAAGTGTTACGTTTTAGAAATTATTTAAAATTAAATTTCCCTCTTCGAAGCACAAATAGCCCGAAAGTCAAAAAAAGTTAAGAAAAACAATCGGTTTAATAATATGGGATCGGCTATCCCTCTCCTACGGTATATCTCGTAATTAAAAGAAAAATAGGTAAGGTAGCATAATTGACATATTTATTCTTTCAGATTCTTACACTTTCATTTACAACAAGAACAATAAAAATGTTTAGATAAAATTGTACATAATAAAACTCACCCAAATAAGTCGAAACTTAAATTACCGCCTTAAAAATAAAGCGGGCAGCAAATTATAAAAGTCTTTCGTTCAATACAAGAACACTTGCGTTGATTTTTGTTGAATCCACACTGCGATTACTCACGTAATTCTACGCGAGTGTAGAATTCTTGGTTTATTTATTTATTTCTTATTTTTACCGATTTTAAATTTAAGACTATTATGTGATCATCAACGATGATTCTAACGCAAAAATAGTCCCGTTGTAACTTAAAATTTTATTGTAGAAATTAAGAAAGTTTACATGACAGCCGGTAAAACAAATCCGATTATACTCGATAATTCTGCGGGATTATTCGCCGTGAGATTCAATCCGATTGTAAAAATTGTCACAACAATTTTTACAATTCTACGTATGAGAATCTCTCAAACGATAATTACCGCTCGCGATAATATCGTAAGACTGTGAATTTTGGGAGTGTCTCTGTAAGTTTTATTCACCACAATTACGCCAAGTTAGGAGGGGATTAAATGGAAATTTTATTATTTCTAAATAATATATGTGTTTGCAAGGTGTATGACCTGTGCGACTCGGCGATGATACTTTAGCTGTCATTGCAATTTTGTTATACTCGCTCTAGAAAGAGTGAGGAGTACATTTTATACATTATAGTTGTTGTTAATTGCAGAGCTTGCAATTATTTATAGCAATCACTGTTAAGCAACAATTATTGTTAATTTAACATGAAGGTTTGTGTGGCTAACCTCTGAATTTAGAGGTTAATAATCTTTACTTTTGTCGAGGTAGCTCGAAATTTCTTGCACAATATATTGAGGGTGCATTAATTCAAGCGTAATTTTCGAAATAATATTTTAGGAAGAATTAAAAGGAAATGGTGTAATTGCAGGTCATAAACCTATTTCGACACATGGTTGTCGAAATTAATTATAATTTTAATAATTGGCAAAAAAATTGATATACATATATACATATACATACATGTATACGCATACACATAATTTATTTTAGTCTATTTGCAATAATCGTGTATGGCATCTTTTTATGGGGTTTATTTATATTAATTAATAACGAACAATTTGAAGAATAAATTTTTAAAAGAAATTTTTCTATTAAAAATTTATTCTTTAAATAATTTTTAAAGTTTTTTAAAATTTTAATTTAAATTGTATTGATTAAAATAATTTTTATTTTCAATACTATAAAATTAAATACAATTTTAAATTATTTTAATTTTATTAAAAGCAGTGAAAAAATTAAATTGAATTGAATAAATAATAATTAAAAATTTATAAAAAGATATTTTAATACAGAAGAACACGTATAGTTGGATGTAATTATGAAAATAATTTAATTTTATTATATTTATTATATTATATTTCAGTTTATTTAGTTTATTTAGTTTTATTATATTTAAAAATAATTTGTATCTATAATAATAATAATAATAATAATAATAATAATAATAATAATAATAATATTCAATAATAATAATAATAATAATTTAAATATAATAATTGCTAATTTCAAAGAGTAAAAAAGGAATTTTCGATTTTTTATTTTTACAATATCTGATTTCATATTCAGATTTGCAATTATTAATTTTAAAATTCTGATAAAATTCTTAAATTAAAATTCTTAAAATTTCTTGTTAAAAGCATACTTAATTGGTCACAAAATTTTAAATAAAGAACGTTTAGTAAAGAATTATCAAAAAATAAAAAATGTTAAATTTTTAAAATTTTTTGAAAGTGTCATATTTTTGTTTAAATTAATATTTTTCATTGGTGTGCAGCTAAGATTGTGTTTAATACCCAACAGACTAAAAAAATTATTGTTTTACTTATAAAAAGTTGAACATAACGAATTCTTATATTACAATGTTATTAAAAAAATTGGAAATTCAAAAATTTGATTTAGACTTTTAAATTCACACTATTTACTTAATTTAATAAAAAAATTCATTGTATTTTTGTGAAAAAATTAGGTACAAATAGTTTCAAATCAATCTGACAAAAAATAAAAAATTTGCATTTTTTTGATTTTTTAAAATTTTTTGAAAAAATGTCATAACTTTCGTTCATGTTAATATTTTTTAATCAAATATGGCTAAGATTTTAAGTTACGTTAAGACTGAATACACTGCCAAGTTTCACCTCAATCGGTTGAGCCGTTTTAAAGTTGTGCCGGTACAAAATATTGACGACAGACAGACAGATAGACAGAATTTTTATTTATGGCATATTTGTTATCTTTACTACTTAAAATGATAAACTATGCAAGAAAAAATTAATTTGGAGCAATGTACAGACAAAAGTCTGATTTTATTAATATAGATAACGAACAATTGGTTCGTTACAATAAGAAAATTAAAAAATACGTAAGTATTTATTTTCAGTAAGGAATGACAAAAAATAGATTTGACCGAACGGAAAATGTGAAATGAGATCTGACATGGAATTGCCTATATATTTATACAAATATATCTTCTTAATACATACGATCTTGAAATATCTGCCAATTGATCGTCAATAAAGGACAAATATGGTTCTAAGAACCATGGTTTTTGATTTAAACCGCCGGAACCGCTAGCTGGAACCTTCTTCCTCCTATTGAAAGATCCTTTTAGACTCGTAAATTTCTGTTTCGTCATTTCAGGACTCCAACCTACAAAAAAAATATTAATTTTTATCCGATTAACAAAAAAACAAGTCCCAAAGTTTAATGCCATACGATCATTTAAAAAAAATGTTCAACTCTACACAGTTCTTTTTAAATACTAATAATTTGTGCACTGTTCAACTCCACGCGAGTCGTTTACAATAATAATAATACGTTTAAGTCCACACGGTTTAATTGTACACAGATAATTTCGACACATTGAATTGAAATATTATATTCTTGTTTATCTGTATGCAGTGCAATTTTATAGAAGCATTTATTCTTTTTTCAAAAGTTTGTATAAAATTGCACTGTATAAGATAAACAAGAATAAAATATTTCAATGTATTGAAATTATCTGTGTACAATTAAACTATGTGGACTTAAACGTATCATTATTTTTGTAAATGACTCGCGTAGAGTTGATCAGTGCACAAATTATTGGTATTTAAAAGGAACTGTGTAGAGTTGAACATTTATTTTTTTCACATGCTCGTATAAAATTAAACTTTA